TCTTTTGTTTTAATTGTGGAGGAACATGGATTTCAGGGTATTTTACCAGAGTGACTTTGGGATTTTTTTGTCAGGGATTTTTCAGTTTTCCAATAGGGAACACCAGAATTCCTGCTAGGAAGGCCATGGATCCTGCCTGCTCAGAGCTGGCATCTTGGACCCTGCTGGCTGTGGCTGACTTCCTGGCCAGCTGGGGCCAGGAGGACATGCTTTGACAGTTCAAAGCAGGCCACCACACCCAGAACATCTTCCGGGCAATAGCTGCCCAGATGGCCAGGCAGGGGGCGCACATGGTAGTAGAGCCACACAAAAGCCAACTTTGCAACCACAGCCCACTGGCAGCTGGCCCAGAGGGGCAGATGCCTCTACTGGCTGTATAGTCCCTGTCTGGGTCTGGGAGGTGCACAGCAGGTCACAGCCAGACAGCAACCCCCACTGCCAGACTGCTGCAGTGGGTAGAGTGTGCAGGGAACTCTCAGGGCTGCTGCAGCAGTCCAGCTGGCACAAGTGGTAGTGTCCCCAGGTACCAATTGGCTGGGACCCAGAAGCTCTTGAGAGCAGGCAGCCCTGAGCTACTTGACAAGGGAGCTTTTTGTACTGCTGGGGCCAGGACAGGGCAGCTTTTTATACTGCTGGGGACAGCAAAGGTGCTGGCCCTGGGCTCTAGCTCCCCCTGGCTTCAGATCTGGGAGGAGCCAGGCAGGGTTATTTTGCCCCAAGTGGCACAATTTCCCCCCCACCAAAGTGCATATCCAGGCATGTGCGCTGAGGCAAAAGCCCCAGCTCAGATTTGCACCACTTCTATTGGAGCTGCTGCAAGTGCATGTACTTGCATATGTGGATGTGACCACTGAGATTAAGTCTTTAAACTTTACAATGAAAATCATGCCTCCTTGACAAAAACGTGTACTTCTAGGAGTAGTGAGAGAATTAAACTATCAACAGCCAAAGTATCTAGGAAGAAAATTTGTTATAGACAGAAATGAAGAAACTCGCTAGTTGCAAGTGTACATGTTTGCTTTGCATAATTTCTTCAGGGAAAAGGTACCATAGGACATTTGTAAATTTATCTCAAAGCGATACTTCATTTGATGGCAAAGATGATGAAGCCCTGAAATTTCAGCTGAAAGAACTGCATCTTCTAATAGTTTCAGGTTTTTTTTTTAATTTCCCAAGGGACAAATATGTGACACCAAAAAACCCATCATCTCTTCTCAGTCAATAAGTTAATGCCCTGTAAATGTTGCAGTTGTTTACTTCAGTGCCACTTAACTTTCCTTCTTTAAATTCCTGTTAGCACTGTAGTGTTCTGACAACTATGGGAGAATAAATTGAATTCTCAGCTGGCTTACACGCTAACTGGAGAATTATCAGTTAACTTCCAAATGAAAAATCTCTAAGTGGTGTTTGCCAAACCTGAAAGAATATGGTTTGACCTACTGTTGCCACCTGAGTTCACTGGGATGGAGGATATTTCATCTAAAAGTCTTAGTAACTATGGAACCCCCAAACACCTAATCATGAATATTTCTCAGCATGTAGGCTCAATTTAAAAACTTCAGCTGGACTCTATGATGTCTGTCTTCATTTCTTCAGTTCAGTGGTTAGGATTTTCTTTAGATTATTTTACAGGATGACTATTTGTGTGTTTGAAATCTCTTTAAGTGTCAGTGTTGCATAACCTGCTGTGAGCTGCCTGTAAGTATTATTGCCACCTATCAGTTTTCTTCTCTGATTTATATTCATTCATTTTCTTAACACCCTGTGCTGAAGCACAAGTTGTACAGCATGTTACTGGCTTCTGCCTGATCCCAGCTGCTCCTACTTAAATCATTACAGTAATCTAACTCTTAGTGTTAAAGACCTTTATAATACAGTTGAGGCCAACTAAATTGCCAGTTACCACCTTCATTAAAACACCATGAATTTGCTATTTCAGCAAACTCTTTATCCAGCATTTAGGTCCTGAAGGTAGTTGGTCTGGTAATCTAGGTTTTTTTAATGTGTACTATAGACAGTTCATTTTGTTTATATAGAAATGTGTGTGTGTGCTGTTACTATTTTTAATTATTATGTAACATCAACTTATCACTGATAATACAAAGAAGACTGACAAGATGCTGTGCAAAGTGGACTGGACAAAGATTTAAAAGTATGCTGTAATTAAGGCTACTTTAGTTAAAAAAAAAAAAAAAAAAAAAAAGGAAGATAGCATTTTTTTTTTAAATGGCACTCAATATTAAATTTATTTTCCATTAGAAAAGTATTTAAAACTGTCATTAACAGTTTAAATAAATCTAAAGCCCTCAAAGATTATTTAAGTTTGAGCAGAATTGTTCAGTAGTTAGCAAACTCTTGTGACAGTGAACCCAAGAGTCAAGTTTTTTATAAGAAAGCATGGTCATAACAATGGTACAGGAGGAAACTGTAAGGATCAGTTTTGTTCTGAATCGCCCTATATGCTGGGTTCTGTGAATCGATAGATTCAAGAAACAGCTAAAGAACTACAGCTGAATGCTGCATGTTCCAGTTTTCTGAAAATGGAAGATATGTTCCCATGTAAGTTAATAGCACTCGCAGTTTCATGGTCTCCAGTAACGGGGTGACTGGAGGGGGTCACATGAGAATGCGTACTGGCATGGATGGTAATATAATGGGAGAAGACTAAATATTAGGGACTTGATTTGGAGAAAAATTATGAATATGAGAGAGAGTGTAATTTTAAGACTTTCTTCACTCCCATCTTTCTGTATTCAGTAACAGAATACGGCTGCCTGTTTCTTTAATCATGGATCTAATCTAACCAATGTCAGCAACATGCTGGTTAAATTTAGAAATTATCTGGTAACTTACTTCAAAAAAATGCTGAGGTTGTTCTTTTCAGAGTCCAAAGACCAACTCTGTTGACAAGCCCTCTTGCAAGCACCATCCCTCCTCTGTTTGTCTCTGAGCCGTTGCAGTCCATAGACTGCTCTAGCAACTTTTAGCCAGGGTCGTTTGGTCCCAGCATTCTTTCCTGGGATCGGAAAGGGGTCGGACTTGATGATCTGCTCAGGTCCTTTCCGACCCTACCAACTATGAAACCTAAGTCTCTTGGCTACTGATACTCAGTGGTCCGGGGCAAAGGCAGGGTTTTTTTCCCTTCCAAACTACTGCAACAAATTCTTGGCATAATGCCTATTCACGAGGTTTATGCAGCTAGGGAGGATTTATGTATTAGTGCAGAAAAAATTTTTTTGATGATGTGCTGAGTCACTTGTTTTAGTTCCTGTGTGCTGAACCTGTTTATTTTCATTCTTATTATATTTCTTGTATGGTAGAAAGACCATGGTGTCAAAGGGCTTCCCAAAATTAAAGTATACGTTTATTTATCTCTGCACTCAACATGAAATGTATTTTATTTCATTGGGTGTAGGTTGTAGTCGTGTTAGTCTAAGGACATAGGCAGACAAGGTTCTTTGGGTGAATCTGATATCTTTTATTAGACCAACTGAAATAGTTGGAAAAAGTTTTAGCAAGCTTTCGGATTTAGAAACCCTTTGTCTCTGCAGTTGGTGTGTGCTTTTCCTGGATGGAATGAATAGTAAAGAAGCCAGAGGCTGGGCTGGTATGCTTTTATTTCATTGTGAACTTATAGGCTAAGTACAGGCATTCAAAAAGCCCAAGCCTGAATCGTTTCAATCTTTTTGCAGTTTAGTCTAACTTGTGTAGATTGAACCGAGAAGCAAGCGAATAGACATTCACTTGATTCTGGAAATGCAGCCACATGCCTTCAGTGGCTCAGGCTACAACTTGGTGTGGGGAGGGGCGCTACAGCAAGCCCTCCCTTCCCTTCCACAGTGGCCTGAAGGCTGGAAGGGAGCTGAGCTGAAAGGGGTGGTGTGTGGCAGCGCTGCACAGAGGGCCCCCCACCCTGACCACACAGTGGGGGAGGAGAAGGAGAGGGAGAGCCCTGCCCGCTGCAGCAGCTGTCTGACAGCCTGGGCACAGGGAACCAGAAGCAATCCAGTTACAGCTCTCATGGCCCCAGCCTGAGTCACAGCCAGCTGGGAAGGGCCTTGCCCCCATGGCTCAACCTGGCCCTGCCATCAGCCCGTCTCGCCTGGGACTGAGGCTGGGGTTGGGGCTTCAGGCCAGGTCAGCCCAGGACAGCTTTACAGGTCCTGCAGCCCCAGCCTGAGCCTCAGCTAGCTGGGAAGCTGGGAAGGGCCCTGCCACCACAGCCTGTCCTGGCCTGGCCCCGCCATTTGCCCACCTTGCCCAGGGCTTGGACTGGGTCCGGGTCAGGCCAGACTACAGGCACTGCTGAGGGAAGGCATGGAGGGGCTGGGCTGGACTGGACTGTGGATGCAGGACCCTTCCCAGCTGGTTGCAGCTCAGGCTGGGGCTGCAGGACCTGCGAAATTGTCCTGGGCCGGCTCAGCCCCAGGTGAGATGGGCAGATGGTGGGGCCAGGCCATTCCCAGTCAGCTGAGGCTTGGGCTTGGGCTGGGGCTGCAGGAGCTGTGCACCTGGATTGTTCCTGGCTCCCTGTGCCCAGGCAGGGCTGACCTGGTACAGAGCTGCTGCAGTGGGCAGGGCTCTTCCCTTCTTCCTTCTCTCCTGCCATGGGGCTGGGGGAGGAGGGTCTCTGTGCAGCATTGTCCCAGGGCTAAGGAAGGAGGGATTAAACCCCCTGCTCCCCTCAGGCTGCTGGCATCTGCCCATATTCCCTGCTCCTGCCGCTGGAGCAGGGTTTCCCACCCCCACTCCCTTCTCAGCCAGCTGGAGAAATGATAATGCTCTGGCTAGGGAGGAGAGGGGTGGGGCAAACTGTGCTCCACTGGAAAAGACAGCCCTACCCAGCCCAGGGCTACAAAGCATGCTGGGATGCTGGGGGCTGTGAGTTAATTTAAACCAGGAAGGGGTCTGGAACAGAAGTTCTGTAAACCAGTTGGACCTAAATCAGTTAAGTCTGATACTACATTCAAACAGGTTAATTTTAAACCAGTTTTGGCCATTTTGATAGCGGTTTATGTGCACTGAATTTCTGTTCTGCTACAGGTTTTAACCAGTTTCTGATCACTTAAGCTGGTTTATGTGTAACTCCTGTCCCTAGCCGTAGAGGGAAGACTAGGGGTATGGACAAACATGCACTTGGAGCAGCCTCAGAAGGGAAGGAAGAACTACGCTGCAATCGTTTCATGTGCATTATCCTGCAGCAATACCCGTGTGGTCAACTGCCCCAACTTTGACTCTGGATGCAGCAGGGTTAAAGTTGGAACAGTTTTGCTACGCTTGCATAGCTCATGCACAAGTACTTCTTGGAGCATAACAGCTGTTGTACAGTCCTGAGCAATAGTTCCTTCCCCGTTTTGAAGCCATTCCAAGTGTATGTTTGTCCATACCCTAGGTCGAAGATTGGGGTGAACTATTCAGTGATCCAGAATCTTGAAGTAGTCCAGGCAGAATATCAAGACTTCAACTTCTTTAAATACTCAGAAGATAAATGTCTTAATGGAGGGTGATAGCACAGAGGTAATGAGTGTTCAAAGTGCTCCCCTCTCCTCAGTCAAATCACCTTTTTCCTGCCATGATTTAACTTCAACTGTCTGCTATATTTTCAGTGGTTGATCTGAGCCAGGCCTTTAAATAGATCAAAGCTGATGCTCTTTATGCCTAACATAAAGGTGCTAGAGAATTAGCTGATATGTTCATTTATGTTCCATACCCTCCTTTGGCGACAACATAGAGATCAGTAGTTCTCAACTTCTGTAGACTCCAGGAACCAGTTCATAACTTTTTCTGAATTTAACAGTACCCCATTTAAAAACAAAGTTATTTATTACAGTGTTTTCTCTTCTGTGCCCAGGGGCCAGGTGCAAATGGGGAGACAACAGGAACAAGCTAGTACTTACCTCCTCACACAGGGACCAGGGTAGGAGGGTATGGGGAAGAGCAAGTGCTTATCTCCTCGGACCCCATGGCACCCTTACAAGTCTCTCCTGGAATCCCAGCTGAGAATCTCTAATGTTGATATTAAACAGTGTTGGAGAGTATAGATCTTTGTAAGTCTGCACAGCGAAAAGTATGTAGCACATGTCCATCGTACCACTCTGGATGCGGCCTGAGAGGAATAAGTAAAGCCATCTTGGTGGAATCTCATAATATGTCTCTAAAGCAAGGGAGAAGTATTTGAGGTTTGACAGTATCTGGAACCTCTGTGCTACTGGCCATGTGTTCCAGGGATTCCTGAAGTTTAATGTAGGCAAAAAAACCACAGAAGAGCTACAAAGTAACCTCAGACTTTGTCTCTCTGTTGGTCTTCCATATTCCATTGTAATATCCCTCAAGAAGAAACTGGTAACCATGATCTAAGATTCAAATGGTGGTTTCTGGCCCATAATGAACCCTGAGCTTAGAGAAAATAGCTTGTTAGCTAATTCCAAATTAAATCATTTGGCAATATTTGTAAGCTTCATGCTTAGAAAACATATTTCCAAGAATTTATAGGCATTTTATTTATTAAATTAAAACAGGATCACTGTTCTGTTTTGTTTCTCAGTCAAAATAGTCTACACAAATCTATCAAATGTTCCTTAAATAAGTGAAAAAATGTGCATCTATGATTTTGGTTCTGGTTTGTTCACATTGTGCTATGTGTAAAGATAACTATCACTTGATTCATTTGGCAAAATCTGATAATAATTACTTTTTAAAAATAAACAATTTCCTCCTAATATGCAGTAAGTGTGTCTTTTTATGTACTCTACAATTATAAATTCTCTGAATTAGAAAATAGGAATGTAGTTGTTGATTTTGGTTCTGTGTCTCTGAGAAATGCATTCAGCAATCCATACAACATTTCTGCTTTCTTGTTCCTTCAGCTTTATATAAGCGTAGAATACTCCAAAATGGAATTGGTTATTGAAGGCAAGCACATTCAGTTTTACCTAAGGAAAAATATGAAGTATTGAAAATACTGTATTAGAGTACTTTGACATTTAAATATTACCTTTCATCCCTAAAGTTTCTAAAGTATTTTACTAGCTTAACTATCTGTAACAAGCTATCTATAACCACCTCACCAATAGACTTGTGATTGAAATACTGTCCCTGGGTTAACTGTGGTAAGCATTTAAAAAGATCACAGAAATTTTATACAGAAGGGTAGGATAGTTAATGAATACATTCTCCAGTGGATAAGGCAAGGGGAAACTTCAGGAAAAAGTATATAATTAGTTGGCATGAAATTTGACTAAGCTAGCAGAACCTGCTCCTCTACACACATTCTTACAAAGGATGCTATTGCTTTTATTTTATTTAAAAATGCAAGCCTTATGTTTTTTCCAAAAATGGCGGCTGTAGCAGCACTATGCTTGAACATTATGGTGGGTCATTGTATCAATACAGGTTCAGGAAAGAGCAGTGTCACTAGCTGAATGAGCACCAGCAATTCCTGTTACAGATGGGCAAACCTGCTAACTTGTTGTTAATACATTTAGAGGTGCAGTATCTTACCTCATGTTCAAAAAATGCATCTTCCAATGTCTTTTCTCCTGTGCCATTCCCTACCCCTTCAAACAAAGCCTTGTATTCCTAGAAGCACAAACAACCACAAATGGCAAATAATTTGCTCATTCATCCTATTTAGTAAAAATAACAAAAACAAAACCCTACGTTATGTAACCTTTCTGCACATAAAACCTTAAGCAAATTGTAGTCATTTTTCATGGTTTATACAATCAAAGCAATTATGCACTGAAGTTAAAAGTACCAGTATTTCCTCTTGTCTTCCCAATTTTCCCCTGTAGTTTAATATTCGTTTGAAATGAGAGCACTGGAAATGGGTTGCTAGAGAATGACATGATCTTTCACCCTCTAGGAATGGGTTCTAAGTCTCAAATTTTAACAATACTTGTCAGACCCAGAGCTGTAAGCAGAGCTCGGATCATGAGCTGTGATTCTTCATACAGCATTCATTTCACTTCCACCAGTCTGCTGGGCCTATTTCACCTATAACAATGACTAAATAAAGTATTTTAATAGTTCAACCTGTGATGATACCCTAGTATGTAATTGTTGAAGATATATTTGACATTGCTTCCCAATCAGTATCCTCCTAGCAATTATTTCCAATTACAATTTTTTGCAGCTGCAACTTGTATATAAAAAAGGAAGCAGGATCTTAACAGGTATCTGTTATAGGCAAAAATCTTTGGGTGTGTGTAAACAAATTGTGGGGCATGTGTGCATGACACTTTAAAGTGGATTAAATGCTTTTGCACTGCTTTAATGGTGTTGATGTTTGCATGTGTCAGCAGTGTATTGTGCATTAATTCCAGCCACTGTAGCACATTCAGCAGTGTAATGCACCTTAAATCACGGGGACCTCCCATGCTGTCCAGCCAAGGGGTTGGACCAAGGTGGTCAAGGGCCCCAAGACCCACTGCACCAAGGTCCCTGCCCCACTGGAGCTTTGCAACAGGTACGAACCTCTTGTAGCTCCAACAGAGCCTGCTAAGTTGCCAGCTCCCACAGGCAACACAGGCTCAACTGAAGCTACCGTCCCCGCTCTCCCTAAGACAAAACACAAAGTGTTTGTCGTGGGAGACTCCATCCTGAGGGGGACGGAGGGGGCAATCTGGCACCCTGACCCCTCCACCCGGGAAGTCTGCTGCTTCCTGGGAGCCCATGTCCGAGACATTGCAGAGAAGATCCTTAAAGTCCTCCAGCCCCCTGACCACTACCCTATGCTTCTTATCCATGTGGGCACCAATGACACGGTTCAGAACCCTCCCAGCTGGGTCATGAAGCGCTACAGGGATTTGGGAGTGGGCTTAAGGAGTTGGGGACACAGGTGGTGTTTTCCTTGGTTTTGGGCTATGGGGTGAGGATCCGAGACATTGCAGAGAAGATCCTTAAAGTCCTCCAGCCCCCTGACCACTACCCTATGCTTCTTATCCATGTGGGCACCAATGACACGGTTCAGAACCCTCCCAGCTGGGTCATGAAGCGCTACAGGGATTTGGGAGTGGGCTTAAGGAGTTGGGGACACAGGTGGTGTTTTCCTTGGTTTTGGGCTATGGGGTGAGGAGGGGAGAGGAGGATCCAGGTAGTGAACCAAAGACTGCGGCGCTGGTGTCATCGGGAAGGCTTTGGCTTCTATGACCACAGTCCACTCTTTGGTGAGAGAGGCAGCGAGCTGCTGGGAAGGGACGGCCTCCACCTTTCTCCGCTGGGGAGAAGGCTCTTCTCAGCCAGACTGGCTGACCTGCTCCACCGGACTTTAAACTAAGCTCGCTAGGGGACGGGGGGACTACTGCCACTGCTGACTCGCTGAGCAACACTTGCAAAGCCAGCAGGCCAAGGAACTTAAGGGAACCCACCCCTGCCCCATCCCTAGAGCAAGCTGCAGGCAAGGCAAGGGCCCCCAAAGGGACACTTGCATGCCTGTACACTAATGCCAGGAGCTTGGGGAATAAACAGGAGGAACTTGTCCTCCTGCTCAACACAAACAATTACGATGTCATAAGGATAACGGAGACCTGGTGGGACTCCACCCATGACTGGACCATGGATATAGATGGCTATACCCTGTATAGGAGGGATCGAGTAGACAAAAGTGGGGGAGGTGTAGCTCTCTATGTCAAGGAAAGCTACACATCCCTACAAGCTGACATCGGCACCCAGGGTGGACGATTAGAGACCCTCTGGGTTAAAACCCGTGGGGAACACGGCACAGGGGATACAATAGTGGGAGTCTATTACAGACCTCCCTCTCAGAATCAAGAGATTGACCAGGAGTTCGCCAGGGAATTGGCTGAGGCTGCACACTCCTGGTCCATGGCTGTCATGGGGGACTTTAACTACCTAGACATCTTGTGGGAAAAGCTCTCGGCCAAATCTGAATGGTCGCATAGCTTCCTCATGTGCATGGATGAGCTCTATCTGACTCAAGAAGTCTATGGGCCAATGAGAGGCAAAGCGCTACTCGACCTGGTACTGGCAAATGGGGATGACCTAATCAGCAACCTAATGATCTAAGGGAAGCTGGGTGACAGCGACCACGAGCTGATCACCTTCACCATCCACTGTAAAGCTGGCAGGTCAGTCAGCAGTACAGAGCTCAGGAGGGCTGACTTTGACAAGCTCAGGAGACTTGTCGGTGAGGCCCTGAGGGACCATGACCCCAAGGGGAGGGGAGTCCAGGAAGAGTGGTTGCTCCTCAAGGGAGCGATCCTAGATGCACAAGCTAAAGCTATTCCATTTCGGAGGAAAGGCAGCAAGAGGGCACAGCAGCCCCCTTGGCTCAACAAGGAACTAGCGATCCTCCTGCATCTAAAAAGACAGACCTACAAATGACAGAGGATAGGATCCACCTCCAAGGAGGAATATACTGCACTGGTCTGGACCTGCAGGGGGTGAACCAGGAAAGCCAAGGCTGCAATGGAAACTCCAACTAGCTACAAGTATCAAGATCAATAAAAAGTCCTTTTTTAGATATGTGGGGAGCCGGAGGAAAAGCAAGGGCAACATTGGACCCCTGCTAAACCAGAAAGGAGAACTGATGACCGACGCCCAGGAAAAAGCCAATTTACTAAATGGGTACTTTGCGTCGGTCTTTCACAAGTCCCATGGGACGCCCCTGTCAATTACAGGACAGGGATGCCCAAGAGAGGGTGGTTCCGTGCCCTCCATCAAAGCTGACCTCATGAAAGAACACCTTGAGAGGCTGGACACCTTCAAGCCAGCTGGCCCTGACAATTTACACCCCAGAGTAGCTGTCCTGCATCATAGCTCAGCCCCTGGCACAGATCTTCAAGAGCTCCTGGTGCTCTGGTAAAGTGCCTGATAATTGGAAGAAGGCCAATGTGGTGCCTATTTTTAAGAAAGGGAGGAAAGTGGATCTGGCAAACTATAGCCTCAGGTCCACCATGATCTGCTGGCTGGGGAATTGGCTCTGTGGTCAGACCCAGAGGGTGGTGGTTGACGGAAGTCAATTGTCATGGTGCCCTGTGACCAGTGGGGTCCCCCAAGGCCTTGGACCTATTTTGTTCAACCTCTTCATTAATGATGTCAGAAGCAGACTGGCCAAATTTGCCGATGATACCAAACTTTGGGGTAAAGCATCCACATCTGAGGACAGGGGGATAATCCAGGCTGACCTTGACAGACTCATGAAATGGGTGGACGAAAACGTGATGGTGTTTAACACAGAAAAATGCAAGGTTCTTCATAGATGCTTCTCAAGCAAATCCCAGGACATCATTCTCCCATTGTACTCAGCCTTGGTGAGGCCGCAGCTGGAGTACTGAGTCCCGTTTTGGGCTCCACAATTCAAAAAGGATGTGGAGAAGCTTGAGAGAGTCCAGAGGAGAGCCATGCTCATGATCAGAGGTCACAAAAATAGACCTTATGATGAGAGGCTGAGAGCTATGGGACTCTTCAGCCTGGAAAAGCGCAGGCTCAGGGGCGATCTGATGGCCACCTATAAGTTTATAAGGGGTGTTCACCAGGATCTGGGGGAACATTTGTTCACCAGAGCGCCCCAAGGGATGACAAGGTCAAATGGTTATAAACTCCTGCAAGACTGTTTCAGGCTAGACATAAGGAAGAGCTTCTTTACTGTCTGAGCCCCCCAGGTCTGGAATGGCCTACAACCAGAGGTGGTTCAAGCACCTACTTTGAATGCCTTCAAGAGAAACCTGGATGTTTTTCTTGCTGGGATCCTATGACCCCAGCTGACTTCCTGCCCCTGTGGCAGGGGATTGGACTCGATGATCTTCCGAGGTCCCTTTCAGCCCTAATGTCTATGAAATCTAAATTACTTTGGCGCGCAGCAAACTAAAACACCTCTGAGGAGTTTTAGTTTGCTGCCCTACAGCTGCAGAACGAAGCACCGGGCTCCGTGCGGCTCAGGGGCTGTGCAGGCAGCCCATGCAGGCAGCCTGGCAGCAGCCCAGGAAAGCAGGCTCTACCGAAGGAGGAAAAAAAAAAGTGGTGAGTCTGATCTTTTTTCTTTCTTTCTTTTCTTTTTTTTTTCCTCCTGGAGCCTGCTTGCCTGCATGAGCTGCGGGGAACCCAGTCCTTCCCTCCACAGCTGCAGTACCCCCTGGGACCACCCTAGCTGGGTGCCTGTGGGCGGGTGCCACCTGGGGGGGCTGCCACTGCCGTGGAGGGAAGCACCAACCTCCCACTCCCACACATCCTAAGGACCGCTCCACCCACCGGCAGCTTGCCTTCCCTCCTCCACTGCTGGACAGGCAGGTAAGACACAGGTGTACATGACACGGGGGTTTACTTCACCCTCAATTGAAGCGGTGTTTTTAAAAACCCACCACTTCAGTTTAGGGCTCCCAATTCATCTACACATGCCCTTACAGGTTTACTCCAGGTATCTATTAGTTTTCTTTGTCTTTCCTTCCATTCTACACTTCCCCTGAAAAAAGATAATACTGATCAAATAATCATCACTGAAGAATGACAGAGTGGGAAAGAAAGGGAGAGAATACCAGCTCTGTGAAATCATGTTTCCCTCTTTTGAGGCTTTGTGGAAACTTATGGCTCTGAAGCCAGGGCTCAACAGAGTTTCACACTGGGAATAGGAAATACTAACACATGTGCTGGTTGCATTCTTGCCTCTAGCAGTAGTGGATATCTGTGTTTAAGACTACAGGAGGTAGCAGGTCTTAAACTTTGTTGTTTAACCCTGGTAATGGAGATATTTTCTGCAGTTCACCAATGACAGTAAATCTATAGGAGATAAGCTGCCAGAAAACCAAAAAGTCCTGTGCCAGCTTTTCTTCCTCTTTCATCTCTAGATGTGGAAGGCTGTAGTCTAATCTCTTTAATGGCTTTCTAACCCTTTCTTCCCTGAGGTAGCAAGTATGTAGTAAATCTCAGCTTCTCTGGCTTTTAGTGGGATGGGAACACTTTTTGCCTGCGAGAAGGTGTGGTTTGGCTCTATTTTGACCTCTCTATGATGGACAATTTACATGGCATCAAGATAATGTCACTATTCAAATATTTTTGGAAAGAATACAATATTTATGTGCATTGACTTCTCTACAGGATCATTTGTATAATTCCTGTATTGTTTATTTTGCCCCTCTAAAATATTTGGACTTGCATATTATGGTCAGAGTTCCTTTTATGTATTTTTGTAAACAAATGCTATGGAATTTGGTCCAACAAAAGATATCCTAAGAAATCATTGCCTATGGAATATTGAATCATATTTTTGTTATAAATTAAATACAATACATACTGCATAGTAATCTGCCACACACTTCACTTGCTCATAGTCATCTGCATTGGCCAGCAGGTGTATGCCTTCTGGATACAACTTTCCACAAGTTGGATATAGTTTCTCTCTGTCATCTTTACTCAGCTCAGTGCCAAATGAATTAATGGTGATGATAAAGGCACGTCTGTCTGCTTCAAACTTAAAAGAATAATATATATTTTAAAAAGTAACATAGGTTGATCATCTGATACTGAAAAGGAAAAACAATATAATAGTGTTCAATACCAGAAGTAGCCTATTGAAGTCTAATTTAATTAATGATATCTATAAATGCTACACTTGGTAGAATTATTTGCAAGGGTTTTTAATGCTATAGGAATTAACCAAAGCACAGTTTTCAGAACAAGTACATACATATTTAATAAAACATAATCATCATAACTAATACTTACATTTTAACTAATCAACCAAAGAGAGTTTAAACCTTATGTCTTAACCATCCTCCACCTATTTATTTAACTGCTTTTTGCTTTTCAGAGGCTGTGTCTACACGAGATGCTTACTGTGCAGTAGTTTGTTACTGCACAATAGCGTTGCACGGCAGGAAGTGTGATGCAATGCTACTGTGCAGTAGTAATGAGCTACTGAGCAGTCAGTGTCACCTGAAGCCATTCGGCAATGCTACTGCATAGTAACTCCAGTTACAGCACAGTCATTTAGTACTTGTTTAAACTACACAGTAACGATTGTGCAGTCCGCATCGCAAATAGATGTGGCCAGGATGTATAATTCTGCCAGGAAATCTCCCTTCTTCTTGGTTTTGAACAACATTTTTCAAAATATTAAAAAGTAAATGGAATCAGGAATAGATAAGTTACTTCAAGGTCATTGTAAGATGTGTTAATCTTTAACAGTGAAATGGAAATAATTGCTTAAAAATAATCACTAAACACAGGGCGTGTCTACATGGCACAGAGCTGCTCCTTCCCTGCTCTGCCCCCCTGCAGCAGCCCGGAGGGAGCTCCAGACTCCCATTGGTGCTAGCTCAGGGACTCGCATGGGGCATGGGTCCGCTCCCAGTGGGTACAGGGCCAGGAGAGTTCTGTCAGATGCAGTGGCAGCTTTCTCCTGGTCCCATGCACATCAGCAAGGGACCTGATGGGCACTGGACTGGGAGACAGCTGCCTCTGCAGCAGGCAGAGCTCTCCTGGTTCTATGGCTATTGTGACACAGTTGCCAGCAAGGCCCCTGCCACCAGCAGCGGCCTTGCTTGGTGCAGAGCTGGCTGCTCTGGGGAGCAGGTGGGGACTGGGAACCTGGAGCAGCTCTGTGTGCCATGGAGGCCAGCTCTGTGCCATGCCAAGCTGCTCCAGGGGGTAGGCAGGGGCTGGGTTTCCAGCCCCGACCCTCTCCCCAAAGCAGCCAGCTTCATGCAGCACAGCCGCTCCAGGGACCAGATGAGAGCTGGGTTCCCAGCCCCTGCTCGCCCTCTGAAGCTACCAGCTTTGTGCTGGAAGCCAGGACAGGGGACAGAGAGCTCCCCAGTCCCAGTGCCAATTGGCTCCCAGCTCCTGGGAGGAGATGGCAGCTGAACAGCACCAGGACTGGGAACAGAGAGCTCCTTGTCCCTTGTGGCTCCCTGCTGCCAAGACTGACTGGGAGCAAATTTACTTCCAGTCAGCGTCTACGTGAGAGTTACTGCACAGTAACTACTGCATAGTTAATGTAGTACCTGTACTTACAGGTACTAGCTAACTGTGCAGTAGCCTAATTATGGCGCAGTAAATGGTGTTCACATGTAGATGATGACATTTTACTGCTCAGTAGATTAATATACTGTGTCTACTGCATAGTATACTAATCTGCGCAGTAGATGTGCCCACATAGACTTAAAATGATTGATAAGAAAATGGTAAAATTGAACTGAGCTTTTTTTTTCTTGTCAACTTCAGACCTAAAGGCTTCTTCTGTCTACTTTTTAACAACTGATTCTTAAAACCTAAAATTAGGGACTGTATTTCTCCTGATAATTTTAAATGTCTGATATTTGTTGCTGCAGAAAAAATACAGACTAAAATTCAGAAAAGGCATATAACTTGGACTGTTTCTCTCCTCAGGGCAAAATTGAATCTATCACCCTAAGAACCTGAATTAACATCTCAAAGGTAAATGAAAGTGAAAGTAATATATGAACCTGTTTTCATTTTTTGTTGAGCCTCTGCACTTTGTTACTGACATGAGAACAAAAATAGCTTCAGTATGTCCATTATTGCTATTACTATTAATAATAATGATATTAACCTTTTTAAAAAGTAATAGAATAGCTATGGATAGCATCAGAATTATTCAAAATATAGTACAGCACAAGCAGAATGAACTGAATTTAGACAGTCATGAGATGCTTCTCACATTGTAAACATTTAAACCACCTTGAGCAGAAATACATGGTGTTTGAGCAATAGAAGTTGAGCAATAGAAGTAGCTCACTCATGGAATTGCAACACTTTTACAAATTTAGGAAAGAATCACATTCTTAACCCCTCAGATGATGCATTAGAACAATGGTTCTCAACCTTTTTTGTACCAAGACCCATTTGTAAACATCAAAGGCCAGTCCTGATCCAGTGCCCCTCACTCCTGACCTGCTGCCCCCCGCCCCCAGTGTGTGGGGTGGGGTGGGGTGGGGGGGTGTGGGGGCATACAGGGGCCCCAAGCAGTCCCTTGCAGGCTGGAATTCTGCCAGCCTGCAAGGGAAAAGCTACAGGTTCCCACCCTTTTTTCTTTAAAGGAGAATCCATTTTTGAAGTTTGTTTGTGGCACGCTTTTGGTTCGCGACCTCTGGGATGGGAAATGCTGCACTAGAACACTTCGTAAGAACAACCTGGTGGCTCTTTGGCACTAACTTCTGAGTAGGGAACGAAAACAAACAATAATGGAATAATTAGAAGGAAATAAGTGTGCATGAAAAGGCTTATAGCTAATAAATAATACAAACAAATCTTATTTGCCTTACTAATGTGAGTAAACACATTAATTCCAGTGGGACTACTCTCATAAATCAAATTCTTCTGCTCACTTTACTCATCATAACCATGAAGAGTGATTTTTTTTCGGGGGGGGGCGTAATTCCATTTGTGGCATTTTGAGGACAATGGGCACATCTGCACGTTCACTGTTACTGCACAGTAACTTAAGTTACTGCGCAGTAACCAAAAGTTACTGTGCAGAATGGGTGTGTGTCTACATGTGTGGGTGTTACAGCGCAGTAACTATGGCGACTTGCACCAATTTGGGTGTAAATTTGCTACTGGCATCATACAGGTTGCAGATTTATGCCCAAGTAGTTACCATGTAGTAAGGCACATGTAGATTTAAAAAAAAAAAATTTTAGTTTGGGGTGTCATTCTATATATAACCCTTACACGAATAATCCCACTGATTTAATTATGTCTGCCTTTTCTACAAAAGGTCTTCTGGATTATTCTTGTGTACATGTATAAGAATACATCATAAATGTCAGCTATTTTGCTGTATAATTAAGGCTCTTTATTAAGTTGCTTAACTAAGAGATGGACTGCTTTACACATGACCTAAGATCCATTTAATGTTACAGGAAAAAACACGCCTTCTATAAAGAAATCCATCCCGATAGCCATTGATTTACCAGTGGAATCATCTAATGTTGAGTGAGAATTCATGATTTTTTTTCTGACTGAAAATGTAGTTTCTGAAAAATCAAAAATGTCTTTAAAAAAATCCTTTTGCCTAACTTTTGATTGGGAGGAGAGGGGAGTGATATTTAATTTCTGGTTGCTTCCGTCTAAGTTGAATATTTCATTTTGTTGAACTGAATTGAGACACTGAATGAGTTTGATAAAAACATTAAACTGTATTTCCCCATCAGTATGTTGCCTTACAGGACTTACTGTTTGGGCTCCCTTTCTCTCCTAAGGTGTTCCCTGGAAAACTAAATCTCCCATAAAGCAAGCTCTGAGTGTGTATTATGGGAGTCAAAGGGCTCTGGGTTTATCACTGGCAGTGTAACGTTGTTAAGAAGCATAATGGAAAATTGAGAAATCTGAGTTCCATGCTCTTTGATGGAAATTATAATAGGAAAATGCAACTGAAGGTTGCAATAATTCTGAATGAAAAATGTCAGGACGTTTAAAAAACACATGAAACATTTCATTTTTAGACAAGTGTATGTTACATTTCTGCATCCAATTGTAAAAGTTTTAATTAGGGGTACACCTATGAAGATTTTTTGGGTTGGTACTGATGGCCAGTTTTTAACAAGCCATATCGGCCGATACTGATCCGGTTGCTAATATGTAGCCAGGCAGCATAGGGACCAGTGTCCAGCTGGGAAGTCTGTTGTGGGGGGAGGGAGGAGCGAACGGGTGTTGGCGGGGCAGATCGAGGCCTTTGCAATGAGGAAGGGAGTGGGGCTGGGACAGGGACAAGGGCAGGTGCTGCACAGATGGGGCAGGGTGCGTGATGGAGCCACGAGCAGCTCATTGGGGGGCGCAGGGATGGGGTGGCAGCAGCCCAAAAGGACACGAGGGCATGTGCCCCCGGATCTGCATGCAGGGCGAGGGTAGGCTGGGGCCAGGGGTGGAGCCAGGGTGGTACTGAGTTCTTCCCAGCAGGGGGCTGAACCAGGATGCGCTTGGGGCAGGCAGCGGTGATGCTGGGAAGAGGGTTATGGGGAGGGCTGCAGCCACCCCAAAATCCACCTGCGTGCTATGCTGTGGCTGTGTGCATGCATGGGGCATTTATCAGTGACATTATCGGCCATCCCAGCCAAAAAAAGCCGATTGCTGATACTGTCAATTTTTCTTATATCAGTGCCGATCCAAATTGGGACTGATGTATCAGTGCACCTCTAGTTTTAATTCAATACATATTTTTAAATTTACTCTTTTAAATTTTGATTTGGGACAAAGACAAATGCTGACCTGGTGTGGCAAGGCACTGTTGATGCCTGCCACTTTAAGAGCGAAGCCAAGCAGCCAGCAGGTGCCTTATTGCGGTGGCCATTTTAGATCTCTGGCCATCCATATAAACAGATCAGTTTGCTGCTGGCAGGCCAGGCAGTGACATCACCTGGCTGAAAGGCTACATGCAACAACCTGGAGGTAAGGGCAGGAGCTGTAGGGGATGGTTTGGAGGCTTCTAGTCCTGGGCATGACCTAAAACTGCACCCTGCTGGGAGTTGGTAGCCTGGTGGGGCTCTCAGTGGCACAGGAGCCCCCAGGAAATGCCAGGCCAGTTATCACCCCGGTGAAAGGCGGGTCGGGGTGCCTTAACCCTAGCTCTCACCTTAGGGTGGGTCATTTGTCATCAGAGGTAGTTGGGGCCAGGCACAGCTGAGGCCACCTGAGCCCTGTGGGGTGCAAGACCCCGAGGAGTGAGAGTGGGGGGCCAGGCACGGCTGCGGCCACCTGAGCCCTGTGCGGTGTAGGACCCCGAGGAAACGTAGTTGGGGCCAGGCACAGGTATGGCCACCTGAGCCCACCAAGGAGGGAAGCCCTGTAGCCCCAAGTGAAGGGGGTGGTGTGGAGCCCCAAGTAAAGGGAGTGTAGGTATGTCTATGGATGCCTAAGGCTGTAGTTTGGGCCAGAGGCTGAGTAAGGGGGCTCAGTCTGAGAGAGAGGGACAAGTCCTGACCCCAGTAAGTCCTCCACTGCTGGGAGGCCAAGTGTGGGTCAAAAACAGCAAGACCTATAGTTGAGCACAATGACCTGCTGCTCTGGGGGTGTGTGAGAGTCCCTGTGAGACCCCAGAACACCAGCCGTAGTGTGAGTTAAGAACGCCCTGGTAAGGGGTGGCCCTAGAAAGGGGATTCATAGATTCGTAGATGTTAGGGTTGGAAGGGACCTCAATAGATCATCGAGTCCGACCCCCTGCATAGGCAGGAAAGAACGCTGGGGCTCGAA